GCAAAAGCCATGTTTGCTTTTGAAGAGATTGATGGAGTGGATGTGTGTTTCTTTGGAATGCATGTACAGGAATATGGCTCAGAGTGTCCACAACCAAACACACGCAGAGTTTACATCTCTTACTTGGACAGTGTTCATTTCTTCCAGCCCCGTCACTTACGTACCTCTATCTACCATGAGATCCTCATTGGTTACTTAGAACATGTTGGACAACAAGGGTAATTGCTCTTTCTGTTTTAGTTTAAGCAGTCATATGATGTAACTATTGCCAGATCAAATGGAAATTGGGAAACTGTTGTTGCCATGATGTAGCTGCTAACTGGTTTGCCAAGAATTCTCACTTGGAGATTATATTAATTAATCATGACTATATAACAAAATCATCTAATCTGATTGGCTATCAGCAGCCCTGATTTTACCATCATCGGACAGTATGCATTACTCCTAAAAAATTAGAGAGTACATACCATTCTTTGCACACACATCAATAATTTTTTATTTTCCTTTAGCAAAAAATCTTAGAGGATCTTGTGTTTGAAGCTTAAGCTTAAGTTGTGATAAACTGGTAACAGAACTTTGTATTGTCTAATTTGGTCTGCAATCACACCCTTGAGAAAACAAATCAGACTCCCACCATGTGGTCATCGGATTTTGCTGATCATGTGTATGATTACAGACCAAATTTCACTCCTCTCGGTCCTATTACCAGTATTGATAAATTTTGTTTTATTTTATGATTCACAATTATCACTGAAAGGCACTAATCAATCGGTATTGCTATAGCACAGATCGATTATTAGATTCTCTGACATACTCAGTGAACCATTTTAAACAATTCTGATATGAATTTCATTAAATTACCTTGTTACAGATATCAGATGGCTCACATATGGGCTTGTCCACCTAGTGAAGGAGATGACTACATTTTTCATTGCCATCCTGTTGAGCAGAAAATTCCTAAACACAAACGCCTTGTGGAATGGTACAAGAAGATGCTTGATTTGGCTGTCAAAGATCATGTTGTCATCGAGTATAAGGTAAGCACTGTAAAGTGAATTCCAAAGCTGCATGTAGTTAGCTATTTCTCTCACTGTAGGGACGTGAGTTAGTGTCCTCATTAGTAAGAGTCCGTAATAGCAGGAGTTTATTTCTGTCAAATGCCAGCAATTTATTTGTGCCTGAGATTTAGCCAGTGTCCGTATTATCAGGGTGTCCACAAGATGAGAGTTGAATGTAACAGTTTTCTGTTGCAAAGTTGTCCGTTGTTTTAGAAAATCCTGCTTCAGTTTGGACATAATGACTTGGCAGATCATACATTAGGGAAATTAAGATCGGACGATAGCAACGGCAGTGACAACGTATGAAAATCAAAAGGTTTAATAAGCAAAACAACAACTCTGCATGTGCTTCATACTTTTTTGTACATTTCTTTGTCTTCACTGCATGCAAAAATGCCTAATTTCACATATTATGGAGGACTTAAACAAGCGATAAAAAATTTTCTTTCTCTTTCTGACCTAGGACATTCCTTAGGAATAGACCTTTTTACCTTTTTCTAGTTTAGTATTAGAAATATGGTCTTTCACTGCATATTTCTCGGGAAAAAGGCAATCATTATTACATCCAAACACGGCGCAAGGATCTTTTTTCCCATTACATTTTTCCATTTATTCTAAGAAAACTTTAAGAAAAAATGTCCCGAAAAGCGCTCGAAAATACAAACTAAATGTGCTCATGCCCCCTGGGCATCCTATAATACTCCTTAAATCGAATTAATTCAATATGGCTGCCTTATTGGTAAAAAGGTCTATTCAACTCTAGGGGGGTTTACCTACATTTGACAGTGTAAGCAAGTTGGAGTAATTGAAGTGAAGATTGAAAAAATGTGAATGAGCTTTTTAAGTGATCTGCCATGGTCATCCTCAGTTCTTGAGCTCCCCATTGAGTGTCAGAACTTAATGTTTTGTTTTATCATTCTGGGCCCAGTTGTTCGAACGCCGGTTAGCGCTAACCTGGGGTTAAATATTAACCCGGGTTTCTTTTTCATGTTATCAAAAGCACTTTCTCGGATAATTTTCTCTATTCTTTTTAGAGTATCCAATCATTAAATTGTAGGTGAAGAGAATTAAACTGAATTTGCATTTTAAGCTCTCATATCTGAGTTCAAATTTTGCAGTAACCCTGGGTTATCTTAACCCAGCTTCGAACAACCCGGCCCTGGTGGATTCCAGTGTATGCCTGTAGTTTCAATTCATGAAAAGGTGTCAAAGCTCAAAGTAACTCTCTGATGGTGGTCAGACACGATGACCGGCAAAATAAATTTTTACCCTTATTTCTGACCGGTCAAAATATCAGGTTGGAAAAAAGGTGTCTAGCCTGTGCATAATTTTCTATTTGTGAACGTGATTGTATTTTTACAGAGACAAATCTAAGATTTACATTTGAGGATTTTGTTATTTTTTTTAAGAATGAGAGTGTGGGTGACCGGTCAACATAAGCAGGGAGTGAAGTTGTTGGCCAGTCAAGTTACCATTCTGGTCGGACATTGTCTGCTGAGTGTCCAGAAGGGAACCTTCTTGCAGGCCTCTGAAGGCATGTTTCTAAGATTGACTGCCAAAGCCTTTTTGCTAAGTATTGTCATTGCTTTTGTAGGACATTCTTAGACAAGCTAATGATGATGGATTGAAAACCGCCAAAGAATTACCATACTTTGATGGAGACTTCTGGCCAAATGCTTTGGAAGACAGCATCAAAGAGCTTGACCAAGAAGAGGAGGAAAGAAAAACAGCTGCTGCTGCTGCTGCTGCTGAGACTGCCAGTAAAGAGGTATAGATCTCACATTTGATTCTGGTAGAGTTTATAAGAACTAACAGGGCACATGCCTTCCCAACAAAACGACTTATTAGTTAGGCATGGAACCAAATACAGTTTAAGGAATCAATTATGTTTCAACATACCACCCCAAAGACAGAGATGTCAAGAAGTCTGTTTAATATACGAGTGCTTATCTGTGGAACAATTCAGATAATGATATGGGAAAAATTACTTGTTTAGAAAATTTTAAACACTCTGTTAAGAAATTGCCTTCTGGATGTTATGCATTGTAATTTTTTAAGAACTATTGGTAGTTTTTAATCCCTTTTTAGCTTTTTTATTTTTAATTCTTAATTTTATAAATAGTTCTTGCCACCTTCTGATTTTTCATACGACCACATCAGCGTTGCTGTAGTCTTATGGTGTATGAGTGAATGCTTTCCTTACTTGCAGAGGCGTTAGTGAAATTATTTGAAGTAAATTGCTCTCAAGTTGACTCTTATCATTGTTTGTGTTTAGAATTTTATTTTGAACGCTGCAACTAATGACTTTGGCAGAAGGAAACTTCTCCTGGGTTTTCATGGATGTTATGTGTGATTGCTTATAAGTTTATTAGTATAGGTAATAGCATGATTTGTAGTGATATTTGGAATAAATACCACAAGTGATATTTCAAAATTGTTAGACGTAATTTCACTCGCCTGACGGCTCGTGAAATTTGAGACAATTTTGAAATATCACGAGTGGTATTTATGCCAAATATTACGTACAAATCATGCTATTATTTGTTTATACTACTACCTGCAAAAGGTTTGTAATTTTCACATGTAGTTATTTCAAATTAAGTTGAAATACCACTGCTCTAAGTCAATCAAATTTCAGAAATTTCTAATGTAGTAGTATAATAGGATAAATGCTTGAAAGTAGTTTGGAACTAAAGTGGCCTCTTGGCATGGTTCAACCAAATAATTGTCACTAAGACAATACGCTTTTTCAGGAATATATTTTATTAAATTAAACTCTCTACTTCTAGGGAACACCAGGAAGCAAGAATAAGGGGAGCAACAAACGTAGTAACAACAAAAAGGGCACAAAAAGCAAAGCAAACAACCGTAAGAACCCAAAGAAGCCTAACGGTTCAGTCAATGGGTTGTGTGATTTATCACAAAGATTGTACAGTACCATGGAGAAACACAGAGAGGTGAGATTTGTAAATTTGCAATTTTAATCGCAAGTTCTCTTTCTGTGGGTTGTTTGAATATGGCATGTACGGTATTTCTTACGAATTTTGCTCAGATTTGTTATTAATTATATGGCTATTTCGTTTTGATCATTATGCATCAGTGGAGGGCTGGCTGCATGTGGATTTGGTACAGTAATAATTGTGCTTGTTGGACCGTTTTGATGGGATTTATGAATGAAAGGATATATCTTTCAGACATACTCCAGTGTCATAAACGAGTAAGGAGCACTTTCTTAAGTAACTCGTTTTTCGCTAATAATACTCTGTTTGTCTCACTTGCAGGTGTTCTTTGTTATTCAATTAAATGGCCGTAAGACTCCCGAGACTAGTGACCCTGATGGCTTAATGAGCTGTGACATCATGGATGGCAGAGATGCATTCTTGACACTTGCTCGTGAGAAGCATTATGAGTTCTCATCACTTCGAAGAGCCGTGTATTCTACCATGGCTATGTTGGTTGAGCTGCATAATCAAGGCCAGGACCGGTTTGTCTACACGTGCAACATTTGCAGAAGACCCGTGGAAACACGATATCACTGCAACGAATGCGACGTAAGTAGGGTTCAGTGTTACGGTTCAGTCTAATAATGAATCGAAGCAAGGCTTATCACTACCGTTGGATGATAAACATCATTTCGTTTATTTTTATTTCAGTTCATGGCAACTAATAATAATAATTTAAAAAAAAAGAAAAAAAGAAAAAATAATAACAAGAAAATTTTAAAAAGAGGGGAAAAAAAGCCATTGGAGTTGCGAAAAAGAGCCAGAGAACCCATACAGGGCACAACACCATCGGTACTATCTACATAAAAATATTATGCTAATATTAATATTATGTCCTATATACAGTTAAAAATACAAAATATTCAAGCGCAGTGTGACAAATCAACTAGATGCGACAGTTCCATCGACAGACTGAAGATCACTAAGCCAGCCCAAATACCCCGCAACACCACGCCTAAATGAGTGTTAATCGTGACTAAAGCGAACTTCACACGGGAGACAGTCCAGCTATCCACAATTCTGTGAAAATATGAATTTTTAAAACTGCAATACTCGTCACAAATCGTTGAAACAGAAGCCATTTGTCTTGAATTTTCTCCAAATTTTCAAACATTCACTCCTGACACCTTCGTTCTCACTCAAATATGCCCCTCTCCTTCCCCAATGTTGAGCCACGCGTATGTTGGAGCACTGAGACGACTGTAAACCCAAATCAACATTGGGGAAGGAGAAAATCACACAAGTGTTTCAAGATTTGTGACGAGTATTGTCTTTGCGTTGGGAGGGCGTGGACGCGTAACAAAATGTATGAAGGGCAACTATTTCCACCTTTAGTGTTAACAATGTCATGATGAGTATTCTTGTTGTTACTGTTCTAGATGTTAAGTCGGACTAATAATTATATTATATAGCTTGTATGCATACTTTTTATTATGAATGATTTCAACGTACATTTCTCCAAACGACTTCAGTGAAAAGGCACTTCCTAAAAGTACATCGGGATTGGACAAGGGGTGCATATAATAAAACTGCATAATAGAAACTGAACGTAGAATGATAATATTTGCTGCACATAAACTGACTTGCAAGCTGCAAAAAGCATTTTTTGTATTTATTAGTATGTCCCAACTGCATTTGTTGTGTAAACATTGTGTAGACTGAAAAGCGTTGAAATAGATGTTTAGGCTCCAACAATTTGGTAGACAATGACATTTTGAACCCAGTTTGAACATCTAAACGTTTCAATATTTGCCTTCTATCATTCGCCTTATTCTTTCCACTGCTAGGTATTGAGAATGACGCAAGTGATTTTGTTGGTTTGTTTGTTTTTTATCCCAGGATTATGACCTCTGTGTGCCTTGCTACAACGAGAAAGGTCATGACCATAAGATGGAAAAGCTTGGATTGGACTTGGATGTAGATCAACAACAAGAGCAAGGTGGTGAAAAAGAACGGCCACAGCTTAGTGCACAGGAGGAACGAAGGTTAAAGATCCAGCGCTGCATACAGAGCTTAGTGCATGCCACTCACTGCAGAGACCCCACATGTCAACTTGCAAGTTGTGCTAAGATGAAGCGTGTTGTGGAACACACTAAAACTTGCAAGCGAAAAACGGGCGGTGGATGCCGAATTTGTCAAGAGCTTATTCATCTTTGTTGTTATCACGCAAAGCACTGTTTAGAAAGGGAGTGTGTAGTACCGTTCTGTCGGCATATCAAACTCAAGCTCAGACAACAACAGACGCAGCAGAGGTTTGCTCAGTCTCAGACTCTTCGTCGTCGTATGGCCATGATGCAGCGTCAAAGCATGCAACCTCCACCTCAAATGCCAGGTCAACCCATGCCTCCTAACATGCCCAGTGCTGGAAACATGGGACAGTCTCATCCGGCACTACAGCATCCCCAGCAGCCACCTCCTTATCAGCCACCTGCCATGCCTCAGAAACCTGTTATGAATGGCCCTCCCCCACGTGCAGTGGAAGCTGCCCAGAAGATCGCACAGGCTGCTACTATGCAAGCTATGCCTATGGGAATGCAAGGGCGTAATGTATCGTTACCTCAACAGGGCTTTGCACAGCAGCAGCCTTCGAATATGGCACCATCTAGACCAATGGCACCACCTTCAATGAGGCAACAGAATCCAGCTCTAATGCAACCGAATATGGGGCAGAACCTAGCCCAAGGGATGCCTCCTCAGGGAATGCTACCACAGAACATGCCCCAGGCTATGCAGCAACCTATTCCACAACAAATGCAACCCACGACTGGAGCGCCAAGCAATCCTGGCATGAATCAGGCCACTTACGAGTGGTTCCAAAAACAGCAAATAAACCACCCCAATGCAATGATGCCTGGTGTACAGCAACAGTTCCCTCAAATGCAGCCCGGCCAACAAGGGGTCCCATCTGTTGTACCCCAGCAGAACAGACCTAACGTACCACTTCCGCTGCAGCAGTTGTTGCAAACGTTGAAGAGTCCAAGTAGCCCTCAGCAGCAGGCTAAAGTGTTTCAAATTCTGAAACAACATCCTCAGTTGATGCAAGCGCTTGTTAAACAGCGACAATATGGACAGCAACAACAACAGCAGCAACAGCAGGGAATGCCTCCTGGTATGCAACAAGGACTGCAACAAGGGATGCAACAGAGCATACAGCAAAACATGCAGCAAGGAATGCAACAGGGAATGCAACAACCTATGCAACCCAACATACAACAGGCTATGCAGCACAACATCCAAGGAATGCAGCAACAGGCGTTGCAACAAAATGTACCACAGGGAATGCAGGGTATGCAACAAGGAATGCAGAACCCCATGCAGCAGGGAATGCACCCAGGCATGCCAAGTGGCGTTTCACAGAATATGCAGCATGCCATGCAGAATCCTATGCAACAAATGCCAATAGTGTCTCAAGCCACTGTCAGTCAACAGCAACAGTGGCTAAGAATACTTCAGCAGCAACAACAACAACAGCAGCAAGCGCAGCAACAACAGCAGCAGCAGCAGCAGAATATGTTCCAACAGCCACAGGTCTCTCCTTTTTCTCAAATGAATGCAATGAGAAGGGGCCAGGTTCAAAGTCAACTGACCACCTCACAAGCGGGGATGGTGCATCCACACAACGGCCAAACACAGGCATCCCTACAACAGCACTTCCAGGCTAAACAGCCACAGTTTGCTTCACATCTCATGTCTCCACAATCGGCTAACCCAATGTCACCACAACAGGGCATACACCCATCACAGTCACCTCGACCAGTCATGTCTCCACAACCACATACAACGGGAGCGTCACCTCGACAGCAGCCCACCATGTCACCGCATCCACAACAAACAACCCTCACGTCCCCTCGACCCATACCCTCACCTCACCAAGCGGCCACGCCTCAAATGGACAGCCAATTAATGGATAAACCGCTGTTTAGTACGGCGAGAATATCTCTTCCTCCGATCCAGACCCCAACCGACCCAGACCTATCAATTGGTCAGGAAGATTCTCCGCTGACGCCTCAGGATCAGTTGACTAAATATGTCGAAAATTTATAATAAAAAAAGAAAAACCCCGAGACACACACAAAAAAAGAATTTTAAAGTAAGAAAAGAGAAAATGTACTTTATGGAACGAACTTTATATGTAGTTTTATCGCCGTGATAATCAAGATGACGAAATTTTGTACCATTCATACCATTATTATATAATTAATTTGTATAGCTGTTTAGCTGATAAATATCAGCTTATGAGGGAATCGATCCTTCCAAAAAGTCAGAAAGGAAAGACACTACACGGAATTTTAGTTTTAGAGTTTTTTTGAACGTCTTCAGTCAAGAGGCACTGTATAAAGCGCACATTCTTACGAGGCATATATATTTGTCCAAACATGCTTGTGTACCAATAAATGTGTGCACTTTTCACAACGTTTGTGTGCTTATTAGCCTTGTTATCAATTTGTAAATAAAATTAAAGCCCTTATTTGAAAGAGCAATCGCGACTTATTGACTAGCGTCGTTCCTGGCAATTGATAGAGTGTACTTTTGTGTTAACCGCCTTGCTTAAAATAACGTGTATAAGTCGATTTTAGCAGCCATTAACAGACCCCCTCAAACGAACCCAAACAGAACAACCTTTGCCTCTTTCCGTTTAAGGAATGTATACCGCCTGTTCTCGTGGTCAACTGCGTCTTCTTCGCGCTTGGCTAAATGAAGACTGTTGAACATTGAAAACCCCAACTGACTGGAGGCAACTACAATAGGGCGAGAAGTCGAAATTTGGGGCTGCCGAGAAACGACTCCAGATAGCTGTCAGCATCCCAGGTTTGCCGGATTGCGAGTCTGACGCGTTGATCACTTGGTAACGCCGCTTTACTAGTAGCGTATTGTTGATCATCGGCCGCGCGCAATGAGGCCTAGGGACTACTTAGGAGTGGCTGCACTTTAGGAGACATTGGGCGCGATCCATTCAACCAAAATTCCAACCGGTCCGACCGGGAAAAGAGGACCACCTCAAAAGGTGGACCCGTTTTTTCGAAACTTTTCCGGTTGGACCGAACCGATCCATTGAGTTTTGGACCGAAATTTCCGGTAAGTTTGGTTGAATGGATCGCGCCCATTCTGTCTCAATACCGAACTTTTCTGGAGACCTTTTTTTGCAACAAAAATCGCTATATCTTGGTAAGAAAAACACAACCTCTTGAAATCGTAAGCAAGTTATTAGCAAAACTATGAATATCTTAGGCTGGTTGAACGGTTACCTAGAAAATATTTAGCCTTTCTCAAGCGTTAGAAAATTTCTAGGCGAATCAGTTATTTTACAGATAACTCCCCTGCAGTGTAAACGGCAGTCTCCTTCGTAGCCGTTGTAAAGGGAGGAGCGTTACGTGACGACCCTAACAACGGCTGCGAAGGAGACTATGTAAACGTGGTCTAAGCTACTGTGCGGCACGAAATTTTTGCGGGTTCTAATTTTTTGTGATTTTTGCGGTTTTTCCAGCGATCCGCAAAAATGAGTTCCCGTAAATAAAAATTACCGCAAACATTTTTCCCGCAAAAATTTACATTCACTCCAGAGTAAATATTCTCTAACTTAAAAAGAATACACAAAAATACAGTACTAAGAAATCGTGTCTATTCAATCAAAACGTGTCTCCATTCAAAAACAACGAAATTCTGGTTTATTGCTTGAAAATGTGTATGGCTATTGGACGTACTCAATAAAAACGAAAATATTATCAATGCTGGGTACTGGCTACTTTCTAAAAATCGCAAAAATTAATTCCCAGCAAGAAAAACCAATCTGTCCAAATCGCAAAAAAATTAGTTCCCGCAAAACACCAAGAAACCGCCAATCCGCAAAAATAAATTACCGCCAAAATTTCGTGCCACACGGTAGTCTGCTACACAGTCGTTTTTAATGTGATCACGCAACGCTCCTCGCCAGAGGTATATATTAAAGATGTTAGCCGCCATCCCGTGACACGTGCTCTAGTAGCCTGTTCCAGGCGTTCAGATACTAGAGCGTGGCGGTAAGTGGGGGAGCGAGTCGAAGTTGTACACCGGGAAAACGGGGGAGGGGGAGACGAGAGCGAGAAAACGCCGTTCTCTCCCCCTTTCCCCCTCTAGTCTCCCCTCGGTTTTTTTTCTTCGTGAATTTTTCTCCCGCGCTCTACTATCTGAACGCCTGGAACAGGCTAGTGCTCTAGGAGGTCTATAGATTGAGGAGGGAGGTCTACAATATGGCTCATTTCTAAGGCCATAGCTTTTCGCTTGTGATTTGGCAAGGAAGTCCACTTACCAGTTGGGAGATGGGGTAAAAGAATTTTGGTGTATCGTACACAACATAATCTGTGATTGGCGGTGGCTCGGGACATTTTGGGCAGTCTTACACCAAGTACTACCCTGCCGCATGGTGCTGGTGCAAATCTTCTGTTGCCGGTCGTTCTTGTTCTAGTTTTATAGGTTGCCAAAAACAAGCCATTTTCATTATGTTTCGTTTGCCTGGTGCTGGTGCATCGCCCGATAAAGCTGCTATAGAGGAAGAGAAAAGGAGAAACAGGAAGAATGTTTGGTTTACAATGAAGGCTTTCGTTGCCTATGTGGCTCTACTTAGATTAGGTAAGCTTAAGGAAAGCTCTGAGGAAAGCTTTAGCATTTTGAAGAACGAGAACATTAAGATGAAAGAACCTTTGTTTTATGTACTTTGGTCGGATAATATAAACATAGTCGTAATGAACTTGTTCCAAACATGCTTCTAATACTGTTAGGTTGCTATCATAGAACAAAAAACAACAATGCTTGCCCAGTTTAGTGTCTCATTGGCACTCTAAATTCGAGATTGCTTCGAATCTCTTAATTAAAGAAAAAATTTCTTATTTTACGAGAAAAATTTAAAACAAATCATAGGATGAGAACTCTTTTTTCCTTAATTTAAATAGGCAGTTTGAATTTAAGGGAACGAAATCTTCTTTTATGAGTTGTTTTTTCTTAAAATAAGAAATCTAAGAAATTAAGAACCATGGTTTTTTCAATTCTTGTCTGCCAAGGGTTTTGTGATATGGAAACGACTTTTTAAGAAAGTATACGTTGAGAAAGACAATAATCACGAGCATCAGAAAAAAAAAAAAATTATACTGCATGCCAGATGGAGGGGGGCCTAATGGTTCGTGGTGATGTGGTTTTGCTCGATTTTGGTGCGGTTTTGCCGAAATTTTTATTTTAATTTGTGGTATTGCAGTATAAAAATTTTTTGGGGGTAATTTCAATGCGGTTTTCTGATGTTATTCTATGCAGTGTTTATACATATATCTGTGCAGTTTTTGCGCTGTTCATAAGCCCCTTTTACCCCCCTCCAGATGGAAGAGTTTTGAAGTCAGTAACACAGTTGTCTTGAAAGAAAAATCTGAGTACTCCTGAATCTCGTTGAACCTATGGCCTTCTGGCCCCAGTTATTCAAAAAGGTGGATATAACGCTATCCACGGGACAGATCTCTATCCACTGGATAGCACAATTGGCTTCCCCTAATGCTTAGTGATTTATCCGGTGCAGGGGCGGATCCAGGATTTTTTTTAGGAGGGGGTGCACTCGTCTCTTGCTCTACTTCAACACCAATAAACCACATAGTTCAGTTTTTTTTTTGCAGAATACCAGTTTTATTAGAAAACTGCAGGTCATCTCGGGGGGGGGGGTGCACACCCCCTGCCCCCTCCCCCTAGATCTGCCCCTGCGGTGGATAGGGCTATCTACCTTTTGAACAACTGAAGCCAGGTTTCTAGTCCAGATGCTCTACCACTGAGCAGTGGACTGGTGGGAGCTGAGACCATTTAACTGTAGCTTAGTGGTAGACCATCTGAACTAGTAACCAGTATGTCATTGGTTCGACTACTGTTGAAAATACTCAGATTTTTTTTTCCAACCCAGAGTTCGGAATAATTGCGGGAGAGTCTCCAGACACGATGACCAGCCAAATTCATTTTAGCTCGGTCACGTACTGTTTCTGGCCAGTCAAATTTGTAAGATAAATAACTCTAAAAACAGGGTCCCATGAAACAAAACTGGCATTGTATATTTCCAAAAAAGTCTCTGCTTAGAGCTTAACGCAATATTCAAAACACTCATTTTGTCAACAATATATATTAATAATTTACAGCGGAGAAATGAAAATAAGCTCATGTGTGTTAATAGGTCACTGTCTGTAAGACTAATGCATAACACATTAAATATCATAATCATAACTATAACAAAATTGTCAAATCTGATTGGCTCTCAACTGCCCTGATTTCAGCCTTAATTGGACAGTTTAATAGGACAGTACGC